ATAGGATAGGATAGGATAGGATAGGATAGGATAGGATAGGATAGGATAGGTGCCCGCTAAAGTATTACACTAAATATGATTATTACTGCTTCTGTTCAGCCAGAGTAAAAAGGGAAAAATAGAAAATTTTCCGTGCCAATCTAGTTTATTAAGCATTTCAGTTTATTGCTTTTCTAGCTAGGTATTCAATGAAATTATGAAATTACATCATTTATTTACTTTGTCTGTGGTCACATTCATTCTAATTGTAAGGTAGAGTTGTCACCCGCCTCATAGGGTTACCAGAAAATGTTGTGGTGACATGTTTCCACGTTGCAGCTTCGTGTGTATGTAGATCCTTTCGTGCAAGGTCTGTGACCGTGACCATTGCCGTGACCGAAACCGATACCTATGCCTCCTCCAATACCAAAGAAAGGATCATTACTAAGACTGGGATTTTCCTTTCCTTTATCAAACGACCCGCTAGGCGTTCTTTTGCCTAATCCCAATCCTATTCCAAAGTGTAAACCGTGACCATGACCTCCGTGACCCCCGTGACCTTCGTGACCACCATCGCACCTACATGTTTGGACACCTCCTCCGCAAGATCTACTGCAGCTTGAACAACGACCTGGACTAAGGCTAGGACCTGGAGTGGGTTTAGGCTCTGGGAAAAAATCATAGGTACAAATAATGTTCATAACACGAGACATCACTGCGCAAACTATTTGTGAAAGAGGCTATTTTTCGAACGGGACCGGAACGAGTATTCATGTAATTGATATCATTGAGCATTTTCTCCGCCATTAGTTTCATATTGAAACCTTCAATAATGCTTCTGGAAGCGACAATGTCATGTTTGAACTTTTGGTTATTTCTGTTTCCGATCCCTGGTCTTGCTTGTTTGAGAGATTTTCTCCCGGATTGTCCAGTTTTGCTCCATCCACAAAGGTCTACATCTTACCAATTTGATCATGGAATGAGGACCACAGGTTTGTTCTCTCGTAAATCAAGGACGATGTATTTATTTTGTTGCCAATTGCCTTTATACATTACGCCCCCATGAGTAGAAAGGATGCGCGCAAACAATGCCTGCAAGCGCCCTTAATCAAGTGTTAAAAATATCCGCTTAACTTACCACACTTGTTTTGGTTGCAGACTTGGGTCTGTTTACTTTCTCCCTCAGGTTTTGCCTCCGTTTGCTGGAGAAGGGTTCGTACAGGTGCGAGTTCTTTCTCTCGTCCCACCGCCACAACTTACAGTACATTCCGACCATTCTGAGTATTCACTCCACCCACCATTAGCTGGAAAAAATCACGAAACCGCTGGATATTATTTTTATATTTTGTACTTCGTGATAAAACACGACTACATGTTATAATCAGGGCAAGAAAGTAAAAAAAGAATTAATTCAGGTCGACTGATTAGGTCATTTTCTTGCATTTCTCGAGTCCATTCATGTACGTCTTTTTAACACACGTTTACAGTCAAACAAGCTCACGTGTTGACCCCTAGAGTCGATTAATTATTTGAATTTTCGAACTTTGATTTCATTATTCAGTTGAAATTTACAACGTCGAAAACGAAGATATGAAAATTCCAATCAACTTTAAATTCAATATACGATATTTTGATTAGTTAGTCAGTGTTAACACAGGAAGACCAAGAAAACATGGCGGTCAGAAATAGTCTTGGCCGTGTTTATGTGCCGGGAAGGCCTTTACCTGATATTATTCGACAGGAAATTGTTCATCTCAGCAATAGCGGATTGTCCAATAAAGCAATTTTGCGACAACTGAAAATTTCTAGTTGGGGAGTCCAGAAAATACTTCAACATTATCGACAACATGGAACTGTGCCTCCATTTCGGAGCGTTCCCTACAAAATTACTGATGATATCCTCCAAGTAATTGAGGCATGGAAATTACAAAACCTAGCGTGTATGCTTATGAAATAAGAGAGCGACTTCTGCTCGATAGTATCTGTAATTTAGATGATTTACCTTCTTCATCACAAGTCGAATAATGAACTGAATTTTCATTTGAATATTGCAATATTGCATTATTCCGGTTCGTACGTATAAAAGGAATAATTAACTAATGACTTCATTACTCGAATCTAGGGGTCAACGCTTGAGCTTGTTTGAATGTAACACGTCCTTTAACACGTCGAATGATTTTCTTCATTTGTTCATCATACATTAGAACTCCTTGTCCATTGCTCAGGCATCAAAGAGCCCGAGAGTAAAAAATAAAAAGAATTGCGGTTCTGTCAGAAAAGGTACCCAGTTGTCTGGCCTCCGAGTCAAAAACAATTTGCTTGTACCACCGAATAAACTATACGAACAAGCCATATCGTGAGATATATATATATAAAGTCAGTCTTGCATTGTCTTCTATCAAAGGTTTAATAAAGAAATCAATTGAGTTTTGTAGCAGCTATCTTGAACTGCATGTGCAACTTTCTCGCCCTTGATACATATTTTCTTGTTAAGGTGACTGCCTACTTATGAACGTTGGATTTGAGCCCACGATGTGCGCGCGCTCAAAAACCGCTGAAAAGTCTACAACATTTTATTGAAGAACCATACGCGTTCTGAGCTTCAACAGGGCAAAACCCTCAAATTTTGCACTGGACTCTCTATTTTTTAATAGCTCATTTGAAAAAACTCATAAAAATCTAGGTTTTAACATTTTAGAAAAAGTTTATATCAATAACACATGAAAAAATAGATTTTTGTAGGGAATTTTTATTTCACTTTATGAGATTTTTTAAGAGCACCGAAACTACAAAATATGACAAAATCAATGTATCTCTTTGTCTTTTTGTCGAAAATATCCATGTATTATTGTAGAATKATTGACTAGCCKTCATTCGTGCAATCATATAGTCTGCAAATAGCTATTATCTTATGAATCTTAAGTTTTTTCTAATCTCTTCCGGTGGAGCAAGTTTTGCTCCAAAAGCTCGCGCGTAGGCTTCCATTAAATGCTGATTATCTCGAAAACAAGCTAGAGACACCCAATCTTCTTCCTAGATTTGGAATCAGCATTAAATTTCAATTAGGAAAATCGAAGTTTAAAAAAAGTTTAAATTGTTTTCCAAAAGTAGGCAGTCATCTTAAGACCCTTTTCCCAAGATTAAAAACATCCTGGAGATTGCCAAGAATTCCTCTTTGGCGCGTAAAAAAAATGGATAGATTCCTTTTATCGAAGACAGATTTTCGATCCGATTATGTAATCGTTTTTATTCTCGGATAGATAATTCTCACTATTTCAAATTAACATAACTGTACTAGACTGAAATTAGGCCATGAGTGATTTCATCGTTGACGTACCGCCTTTTGTTTCCCTGCAAGTAGAGTCTCCATCAAGAATCGCCAACGAGGGAGACTCTGCTAGAAGGGAAGCCCTTTGGTATGACATAATTTGTCAAGTCAGTAGTTGCCTTTGGGTTTATAAGATCATTTAAGTAAACGGTGTAAATAATTGCGATACTTACAAACACATTTGTCTTTATTTTCACATGGTCGTGAAGTTTCTGTCACTTTGACCTCCTTGTTAAAAGAGGGACAATCGTTGTTGGAGGTTGGAGAAGTCACAATTTTATACTGAACGCATTTCGTATTGTCGCAGCTTGTCCACTCTACAAGACAAAATAAAGTATTTTWAAAATTTCTTTGTATTTCCAAAACCAGATTTCCAAATAACTGATATTTTCTTTGCTTGGATTGCAAAAGATTTAGTTAATTTCATGATACGAGGTTCTAAACATTAAAAAAATTTACGCATTAAAAATCAAGATTCTTAACGGAAACTACTTTCGCCTTTATCGACCTTTTCAATCCTTAAATGTTTTATTTCCCTTTTTTGATTTGGCTTTTTTTCTTTCCGCTTTAGAAAATCAAAAGGTGAAAAAAAGCTAGGTGGTAATGAAATCAAGGGAATACTCAAAACGTACACATTTGCAGAAGGATTGCATTCAATCTTCGCGAATATTTTGACTAATGGTCAATGTGAACATTTCAAATTAAAATAAAAGAATCAATGACTGCTAATGTCTATCAAACTACTTCTCCTTGTTTCAGAGAATGGAATAACTCTATCGATCGCACCTCCTTCAAATATCCTAGACCTTTCAATGTAAGTGGGAATCAACTAGTAGGGGTGGAGTAGTGAAAGTGCACTTCGTTGCCTTTCACCTCTTGAGTTTCGGGTTCGATTATCAGACTCGGCATAACTTGTGAGTAGAGTTTGATATTGCTAAGTTTTTCCCTCGAKGGTTTTTCTCCAATAATTATGATCTCAATAATTCGATCTGTGAGTTCGGCCATGTATTGACTTAGGTCGACAGTCCAGAAGCTGTCTCACTGGGTTCGATCCGTGCCCTGACTTAGATCAGTCCAGAGATTGTTTTAGGKTTCGGTCTGTGGGTTAGCCATGCCCTGATTTTGATCAGCCCAGATGTTGTCTCACGCATKGGTTCTATCTGTGAGCCCAGATGCTGGCTTAGGGTATCAATAATAAAACATGAARGTTTTGAGTTTTAAGGTACTCATMACATTACCTTTCTTCACCCGRTAAAGAAAATTAGACCATTCTTGCCCTATGCCATAGTCATCATCGTTTCCCACCAAGCAGTTTGAAGCACAGCCATACTTGTTATAGGTTTTTTCTGCGTCATTTGATCCCCAACATTCGATCTTGTTTTGGATACCAAAATAGTCATAACCTTCAGCTTCGGCTTTAATTCGGCACTCTTCGAACATAGCCTGGAAWTTCGGATTTTGAGCATCGTATTTAGCTGAATGGAAGTAATTGCCCATCGCGCGGTCACTACTGTCCTTATAACATCCAAGGGCTTCCCATTCTACAAGATTAATTAAAATGAAACGTATTATAATAGACATTATTCATATTAACAGCGATGGTTAAATCAGCTAACTGAAAAAGCAGGTGGGCTACATACTTACCAAGAGCACTCGCAGTGCCTAAACACAACAGAACCAATATTGAGCCAAGTAGAGACGACATCCTGTTAGTAAAACCAAAAAGATATGGGAGAAAAATTAAATCAAAACTGAAAAATGAAATTGTCCAAGGTCAGTGTGTTTTCATCTGTATACGGCGTGTCACTTAGGGAGGTCGGGACTCAATCTGTGAGTTAGCCGTCTCCTGACTTGCCAGTGTTTGTTTCAGGGCTTGATCTGTAAGATCTATTTGATCTTAGAAATGACGAGTTCATTACCTCGATCGTGGCTTTTAGAAAACTTTCAACAATTCTCGAAAATATTTTTTATTGTATAATATTAAAAAAATCCTATCACTTTTCGTGTTAAAATTTGAAATAAAAATGAATCACGAGTTTTAAAAATGGCGAGTTCCGACTAACTTCAACCATTATCACTGAAAATAATTTTTATTGCATTAATAATAACAAAAATAATAATAACCTAGAAGTGTAGCTACTGTAGAAGCCTTTACGTGTCACTTGCTTCGAAGCAGATAGGTGAAGGTCGAGAGATATAGCTATGCGAACGCGCCTTAGGCAGGACATTCCTGAAAGACTGTCTCGGTGCTGGTGGTGGCAACGAAAAATGATAATCGCGTAAAGAAGTTCGTTTCCCTTCTTTTTCAAAATGATTTTTATCTTTGTTTCAAAATCCAGTCTATTTTCGAGAATTAAAGGACAAACACTTAATCCGTGAAACAGTACAAAATATGTAATAATAATTTAGTTTTGTAAGTGTATATGCTTATCGAAATTTGTATTGTTTCGATAACTTCGATTTAGCGTTCAAAAGTGCTATTTTATGAAACCCTTAGACAATCCCTGGGCTGATCTAAGTCAAAACATGGCTAACTCACAGATCGAACACTGAAACAACCCCTGGGCTGATCTAAGTCAGGGCACGTTTACTGACTCACAGTTGGAACCCTGAAACCACCTCGTCTGGGCTGATCTAATTCAGGACATTGCTAACTCACAGATTGAACACTGAATGAGGCCTCTGGGCTGATCTAAATATTATAAAAATATTTTTATTGTATTAATAATAAAAAAATCCTATCACTTTTCGTTTTAAAATGTCAGTTAAATAAAAAACGAATCATGAGTTTTGGAGTAGCGAGTTCACTACCTCGATCGTGGCTTCGTGGATACCTTCAATAATGATTGAAAAATATTTTTATTGTATTAATGATAAAAAAATCCTATCACTTTTCGTGTTAAAATGTCAGTTAAATAAAAGCTAACTCTCAAGTTGCATGGAATATTTAAGGAATCTCTAAGCTGGTACAAGTCAGCCGGACTTGGCTAATTCACAGATTAAACTGGAATATAGCTTGTTCGATTTTTGTGAAGGAAGGAAAACTGGAGAACCCGAAGAAAAACCTTTTAATCAAGAAAGAGACAAAAAAGACTATACATGGGTTGCTGGAATGAAACTCTACACCACAAAGGCGAGAGCACTATTGCCACCATCCATAGATTCCCTTTCATAATATTCGGTAGTATAGAAAGGTTAGATATACACACAAGTGTTTAAACAGATAGACAAGAGATAGTTACCAATATTTAGCAACATCTATTACCTTAACTGCTGGTGCTCCTTAAGAGTGTTTAGCTGATGACATCTATGAAACAAGAGCATGAAGTAGTGCACTTTATACGGCCAAATTCATGCATTAAACATTTT